TGATAAAACTTTTACTTCATTAATACTGCAAACATGATGCTTGATCAATAATTTACGATATTTGTCCAGATCTATATCGTTCGTGCCAGGAAATGGCAAGGGAAAGCCAAGCGTAGGAGGTGTGCCAAACAAGCGTATCCGAGATAAACAAAATGTATTTCCAATTCATATAGGTATAATCGTACTAGCTCGATAGCTAGTCGATACCAAATACGATAATTTTAAATGTAATATTTAGCAATATTACAGATTAATGGCGGATAGGAAATAACTGACTTTCAGTACTCGATTTCTCCTGCTTTTTAATGATGTATCGAAAAAAAAAATTCTCAGAAATACTTATTTGGATCACCATAAAGAGCTATATGTAGAAAAACAGCTCAAATTCGATGTTCAGTTTTCATCATACCCGCACTTTTTAATTTACAATAATAATTCAATATACAGCCTTTTGCAAAAATTATGAGAATTGTTGAAATATATAAATATCATAATATCAAGGGCATGATCCCGCGCGATGCCCTTAGTCCCTTGTCTTTGTAGTTTATTTTTTTTTGGCGACGGACTTATCCGTAGTTCTGATTTTCTCGATGTCAACAATGAATTATTCTAGCAAACCCTCGTGTTCCAGACAATATATGGATATGGATATTATGATATTTAGATATTTAGACAATTCTCATAATTTTTGCAAAAGGCTGTAATAATGACCAATAATATATAATTAAATTAAAATTGAAGGAAATACGATAAAAAATTGGTTCTTACATGAAGTCTATTACCTAATTAAACTACACTGGTGACCCGGGGGGGGGGGGGGGGGGGGGGGGGTTAATTGCAGTTTTGATGGTCTTGAACAGGGTATGGATTATCACTTTCTAGTGTCTTAAACAGGATCAGGGTTTTAGACCGCTGGCGGCACGTACCTATCTAAAACGAGGTACTCACCGCCCCTCCCCGGGGACTGGTGATTAATAAAAGAAGTCTTCGCCCTGTTGTTTTTTAAAATTTACATGTACATCAAAAACCTGCCAATAGCTGCCAACCTATTGCTTGAGAGAAAAGAAAAGAACAAGCTG